TGGTTAGCGATCGTCAAAACCGGGTAACGTGAGTTGGCGCAGCGATTATTAGGTCACGTTTTTCCGCCCTCACAATATGCTGCACACCATGTGTAACATCGACGGTTCCTGCTGTTGCAGCAATATAGCAATATAATAAATCACATATTAATAAAATGCTATAAAAAAGCCTTGTCCTCGAGGCAGAATTACTTTTTCTCATTAAACAAAGTTTAACATTATAAATTTATCGTAAAATAACTTTGAAAGTTTAGCTTATTAATTATTGAATATGGTTGATATCTTTATCCCTTATGAAGAGATTAAATGGTCAGATAAAAAACTTGAAGGATCAACGGGTAAAGTTGTTCTTGGAGAATACAAAGGAAAAAAAGTTGCTGGTATTTCTCATGTTCTTTTTGATGATGTGTTGATATAAAAAAAATCAAAAAATTTATTTAATATAATTCATGGTTATGTTTTTACAGTCAAACGATTCGCTAATGACAACGTCGAGAAAATCATACAAGAACTTAGAAAACATAAAAATCTTCGATCTGAATATATAATTGAGTTCTGTGGTGTGGTGAAGTCTCCAAATGATAGAACGTATTTAGTCACAAAATTTGCTGAAAAGGGAAGTTTACGTGATTTCCTTGAAAAAAATGAGCATGATTGGAACATAAAAGCAAAAATGGCAGTCGATATCGCTAATGGTTTGATAGAATGCCATAAAAATGGCATCGTACACTCTGACCTTAAAGCTGATAATATTTTAGTGAATAAACATTTGACATTAAAGATTGCTGGTTTTGATTTGGGCATTACAAAAGAGGAGACTGGAGGTAAATAAGTGATTTGATAATCTTTAAATGAAAATATCTTATAATAATATTATTAATTTCATTAGAAGCTCTGTTGTGGAGGGCACCTGAATGTTTTGCTGATTACAAACCATTTAAAGATCAATACGCAAGTAAACCAGAATTTTCAAAAATATTTAATGAAAGCTTGGCATTGTTTTACAAAGATCAGCCACAACTTTCGGGTAAGTTTTTAAATCATACATTTATATAATTACATAGTATAGCTTAAATTTATTGGCAACTATTTAGCTTAACATCTATAATATTTTAAAAACACTATAATTTTATTAATTCTTTATTCAACAAATTATTTTATTTACACAGATGTTTATAGTTATGGATTAGTTGTGTGGGAAATTGCGACAAACGGCATTACGTATGTTCATTTGAATTATGAGATATTTTGAATATAACTAACACTTTGTAATTTTCATATAATATATAGCTTATATCCCGACATAAAAAATAACGAATCTCTCCTAAGAGTTAAGATGCGTGAAGATATTAATGATTTAGAAGAGATTCTTGAACTAAAAGATGCGCCGGGCATAATAAAACATGTTATCAAGAAATGTTGTGAATTTAATCCAACTGAGCGTATGAGCCTTGAAGAAGTTGATATGGAACTAAAGAATAACTTCAAAATATAGTATGGAATGATCGTGGAAAATTCCATTTCCTTGAGGGTAAACTTCAAGAATCGCTCGATGCATATACAAACTCATTAAAGATTGAACCTACAGATGCAATGGCACTTATGGGGCGTGGAGCGACTTATTGTAAATTGAGAAAATATAAAGAAGCACTTGATGATTATAATGAATCAATACATTATAAACCAAAAAATCCATTTGCATTAAAAGGACGCGGCGCAACTTATCTCTTAATGAAAAAATATGATGATGCACTTAATGATCTTAATGAATCATTAAAACTTGATGAAAATGATGTTTTTGCGTTAGGACGGCGTGGTGCAACTTACTGTATGATGAAAAAATATCAAGATTCACTTGATGATTTAAACAAAGCGCTAGAACTTGAACCTCATGATGCATATACATTAGGACAACGTGGGACTACTTATTGCATGATGGCCAGATATGATGAATCAATTGCAGATCTTAACAAATCTTTAGAAATTGAATCAAATAATGCTGACATTTTAGGACGACGCGGTACAACTTATCGTATGATGAAAAAATATGAAGACTCACTTATCGATTTAAATAAATCATTAGAAATTGAACAAAACAATCCTGATACATTGCTTTCACGTGGTACAACTTACTTTGCAATGGAAAAACTTGAAGAATCACTCGAAGATATAAACAATTCATTACAAATTGAACAAAAAAACGCAGATGCATTGGCATTACGTGGTGAAATCTATCATCTTACGAAAGAATACGATAGATCTCTTACAGATTTTACAATATCTTTAGCTTTTAACCCAAACAATGTAACTGCATTAGTGTATCTCGCAAAAACACATTATGATATGGGATGGTATAATAACTCACTTAGTGATTTAAACAGCTTATTAAAAATTGAACCAAACAATGTAACTGCATTAGAGTATCGCGGAAAAACATATTATGAGATGGGAAAAGAAGATTATGATAAATATTATGATCCTACAAATTTATTGGCTGATTATACACCGGTGATAAAAACTGCTAGGGAATGGTATAATAAATCACTTGATGATTTAAATAGCTTATTAAAAATTGAACCAAACAATGTGTATATATTACAGTTGCTCGGTGAAGTTTATTGCGAGGCAGGATTTCGTGAACCGGACAAACATAAGGCATTCAAATATTCCAAGAAATCTGCAGAGATGGGGAACGCTAGTGGGACATGTAGGCTTGGAATTTGTTATCAATCTGGAATTGGAGTTGAAAAGGATGAGCATAAGGCATTCATTTATTTTCAAAAATCTGCAGAGATGGGTGACGCTAGCGGAACATATAATGTTGGATATTGTTATCAAAATAGAATTGGAGTCGAAAAGGATGAACATAAGGCATTTATTTATTATCAAAAATCTGCAGAGATGGGTGTCGCTGATGGAACATATAATGTTGGATGTTGTTATCGAAATGGAATTGGAGTTGAAAAGGATGAACAAAAAGCATTCATTTATTATCAAAAATCTGCAGAAATGGGTAATACTAATGGAATATTTAATCTTGGAGATTGTTATCAAAATGGAATCGGAGTTAAAAAGGATGAAGAAAAGGCATTTATTTATTGTCAAAAATCTGCAGAGATGGGTGACACTGATGGAACATGTAATGTTGGATATTGTTATCAAAATGGAATTGGAATTGAAAAGGATGAACATAAGGCATTTATTTATTATCAAAAGTCTGCAGAGATGGGAAACGTTAATGGAATATTTCGAGTTGGATATTGTTATGATGAAGGAATTGGAGTTGAAAAGGATGAACATAAGGCATTCAAATATTTTCAGAAATCTGCATTTCTGGAAAACATTAGTGGAATATTTAAAGTTGGATATTGTTATCAAAACGGAATTGGAGTTGAAAAGGATGAATTTATGGCATTCATTTATTATCGGAAATCTGCAGAGAAGGGGAACGCTAGTGGAACATGTAATCTTGGAGATTGTTATCGAAATGGAATTGGAGTTGAAAAGGATGAACATAAGGCATTCATTTATTATCAAAAATCTGCAGAGAAGGGTAGTGCTGATGGAACATATAATGTTGGATATTGCTATCAAAATGGAATTGGAATCGAAAAGGATGAACATAAGGCATTTATTTATTATCAAAAATCTGCAGAGATGGGGCACGCTAGTGGAACATGTACTCTTGGAGACTGTTATCGAAATGGAATTGGAGTTGAAAAGGATAAAGAAAAGGCATTTGAGTATTATCGAAAATCTGCAGAGATGGGAAACGCTAGTGGAACATTTAATCTTGGTGATTGTTATCGAAATGGAATTGGAGTTGAAAAGGATAAAGAAAAGGCATTCGAATATTATCAAAAATCTGCAGAGATGGGAAATGTTAAAGGAATATTTCAAGTTGGTCAATGTTATTATAATGAAATTAGAGTTAAAAAGGATGAACTTAAGGCATTCGAATATTATCAAAAATCTGCTGAGATGGATGACGTTACTGGCATATTTAATGTTGGTCAATGTTATTATAATGGAATTGGAGTTAAAGAGAATGAACGTAAGGCATTCGAATATTATCAAAAATCTGCTAAGATGGGTGACGTTTAGGGATGGGTCCGGTTACGGTTATGACCGTTTAGCCGCGGTTATTGACCGTAACCGATACTGACCGGTCAGAGCG